TTGCTGAGAGCCATTCAGCGTCCGACCTCCATTCGCATTGCATATTATATATGGATTGTGGGTATACAATAGAAGAACGGCAAACTCCCTAGTGCAGAAGGGCTTCGCATCGATTGTGAATATACGTATATATAGTACGTATAAACTCACCCTGAAAGGATGACTGCGTACCCCACCGTAACTTACACAATAGAAGCATAAGGATAGGGCGCACAAAAACAATATACTCTTGTAAATAGAAAGAATGAACGCGTGTATGCGTTAAATTAAGAAAGTTAACTCCATACGCCGCGATGCTATAGTAAGATATACATGAATGCATGAAGGAATAATGAAAAAAAGACTCACTGAACCTCCCTTGCAGCTCAAGGAGGTTCAGTGGAAGCTGCAGGGGAGGCAGGCGAGGGTCCACTACGGTTTTCGCGGATTTAACCATGCTAGGAGGAGAATAAAAAGGCACCTACTGAACCTCCCCTGCAGCTTCCAGGAGCTGCAGGAGGTTCAGTGAGTCCCTCATTCTTCCCGCGATGTACACCTGACGGGCGAACAACTACATTAATTTTATTATACTTGTAATCATAACACGTTCTGCAAAAATGTAATGTCTCTGGGGATTAACCATCATCATAGATATATTAAATAACAAAGATTTGATAGACACTCCATCCATTTTGCTATCACTCATATTAGACACCACACCCTACCCTACCCAAACAATGGGCCTTACCCAACCAAAAAATGAAACATAATGGCACCATATATATTTACTCAAACTAAATAATATCCATATTAGCACGTGGTACGCCCCCTCATCTTTTATATACCTCCTAGTAATACTTCACTTTAGGTAGCTAGCTACTTTCTTAGTTCTTCATCTCTTCTTCCAGAATGTAGATTTTCCCCTTTCTTTGTCATGTCAGGATCAGGTTCGTGGGCGAAGAACACGATCTCTCGTACCCTAGGAAGGTACGAGAAGGCCTTCCACGGCTTGCTGCTGGAGGCCGAAGCACAAGGTACCCCGCGTTGTGTGGGCGTCTGCCTCCAAATGCCTCGTAACCAGCATCGCCGCCCATCAGCGAGCGCCCTCTCCGAGACGAGGACGCAGGTCAGGCCGCCCAAGCATCTGCAAGCAAACGCGCCCGCCTTGACATGGGCGAGACGGAAGCAAGCAGACACGAGTGAACCGACGACCCTCTGCGCCTCATATGCATGACGTGAGACATGCATATGAGCGTCGACCCGCATCGCCCGCCAAGATCGCTGAAATGAGGGACGTTCATTCACAAAGAGACTATGACCCTCACTGACTTCGCCCTCGTTCGCCCTCATCCTCATCCTCATTATCACACTCGCCCTCAACGACGATGGAGATGGCAGTTCTGAGATCTCCACTTCGAGCCTCATAGCATCAGCTACATTGCGAAAAAAATTGAAAAATATAAAATAGGACGAAAAATAGATTTGAAAAAAACAGTCACAAAAAAGAGGATTAAAGGTATATGTAAAGAAAAGAAAAACAAACATATATATATATATATATATATATATATATATAATATATATATAATATATATATACATACATACATACACACACACACACACACACACACACACACACACACACACACACACACACAATATATATATAATATATATAATATATATATATATATATATATATATAATATATGTATGTATGTATGTGTGTGTATGTGTGTGTGTGTGTTGTGTGTGTGTGTGGTGTTGTGTGTGTGTTGTGTAAGTTTACATTATATACATAAAACAGAAATATATATATATATATATATATATATATATATATATATATATACATATATATATATATATATATATATATATACATTTATACACTATGTGTTCATTTGTGTGTATGTTATATGAATGTATGCATGTGTGTGTATGTGCAAATGTAGCAACGAAGGGAAAGAGAAGAAAAACATTCGAATTCGCCGAAGGGCCTTTTTTCTGTATTCCTTTTTTTGTTCTTTTTTCGTGATTTTTCTTCTTTTCATTTCTGTTAATTTTGCAATTAGTCGAAATTTTATCGTGTGTTGGTTGCTGCTTACAGATTTATGTAAAGAAAAAATTAATTAATTATGTTAAAATAAAATAATATAATATAATTTGTTTATATATATATATATATATATATATGTATTATATATATATATATAAACCGATTCGAATGTGTAACGTACAGTCGGATAACCGTGTTCACTTGTGTTCTGAAACAAACCTTCTCCGCATCGCCAGATACCTTTCGTGCTATTCAACGTGATTGAAAATGTCGTGATCTTTTCTCAGAAACCGGAGCGAAAGAGCGATATGAAGCAAAGCTAGAAGTTGGCTAAGCTGAAAGAATACTCCTTACTGATCCCTGCTGAAATTCTGGATCGACGATCTTTCGAAATGGCCTGTATTAAATGTCCCGGCATCTACGACGATTTCACCAACACATAGATAATATAATTTTACAATGACATCATTTGCTACTATAATCTATGATTTTTTAGCTATATAGGATATATTATCTGTGAGATAGTGCCATTTCCTCCAACAACAATTTCTTCCTATTTACAATCTGTTTAATATCCAATAAGGAGTCTACAATGAAGGCACATAAAGGCCTGTCATACACATGTCTTACAAACTCTTTTTCTACTTTCTCTCAGTTATATTCATCCCTTATGATGCGAGCTTTAGGCATTCTTTTATCTGTTTTGCTTAATTTTTGCCTGATCGTCTATTTATGGCATTATTCAGATACAAATATAGTACGCAACATCAGCACACTGGATCCTGTCCTTTGGTCTTCTATTTCGTTATCTATATGGACAACGCTTTGAAGACCCTTCAAATAAAGTCTGGCTGTATGTGTGTTATTGGTTGTCTCTTGGTTTGCCTGTAAATTTAGTAATCATCGACATCCTATCATCATTATTTCTATTTTTTTTTCTAAGTGGTATTGGTGATATATGTATATATCTATGTAATATGTCTATTTTACATATATTACATTTCTTTTTACATACATATATACTATTTTTTCTTTATTATTTATACATATATTTTATATTTATATATAATATCTTATATGTCTTGTATATCTATGTATATTTTTTTATTATATATATTTATATTTGTATGTATGTCTATATTCTTGTTATACTACTACTTGTATATATTTTTTATCTATTTTTATATTGGTTTACGTTATATATATATATTATTGTATCAATGTACATAAATTTCACATTTTTTTTTATTTCTCTCACTAACTATTATCATTTATACATACATTTATATATTCATATTATTATCTGTGTGTGTACTTTGTGGTTCGTGTTTGTTGT